TTTTTTTGAGACAGAGTCCCACTCTGTCTCACCCAGGATGGAGTGCAGTGGTGCGACCTTGGCTCACTGGCAACCTCTGCCTCCCAGGTTCAAGCGAATCTCCTGCCTCAGCCTCCTGAGTAGGTGAGACCAAAGGCGCATGCCACCACACCTGGCTAATTTTTTGTATTTTTAGTAGAGACAGGAGACAGGGTTTCACTATGTCAACCAGGATGGTCTCGATATCCTGACCTCGTGATCTGCCCACCTTGGCCTCCCAAAGTGCTGGAATTTTAGGTGTGAGCCACCACGTTTGGCCGCCTTTCTACGCAATGAAGGTGGCTCTCACTGACTGTCCTAAGGGCCTGCTCCACAGGTGTGCTGCTATGAGAGGACAGGATGAGTGGGCATCCATGCTCTCACCTGGTGACCAGGGATGTGGCTGGAAGACTCTGGGGGAATAAAGTCAGTCATGGACTCAAAGTTAACTAGCCTGTGATAAATACCAAAACTTTCCAGAAGACAATAAATAGATCCATGACTTCCTCCAATAAAAAAATCATCTCTTCTGTTTAAACTAATGGCATCTGAAACTACTAGGATTAAAAGCTTTGTCCAAATTGTGAATGTGTTTTACCCCAAGAAGACAGACCAAGTGGCTGGCATTTTGAGGTATGTATGACAGGAAGTTTTGCCCAGTTTCTGAAAGTGACCTTAAGGACCAGCAAAGGGAGTAACCCACTTTACCACTAAGAGTGGCAGTGACAGCCTTTAGGACAACCACAAAGAAGGCTTTTCATTCACACTAAGTCATGAAGTGCAAAGTTTGCAAGGCAACTGGGCAGCTGTTCAGCTTCTTACCATTCTGAATGGTTCCACGTTTCAAATGATCATGTCTGTGTGCTTGAAGAAACAGCATCCAGAAAATTTAAAGCTGGAGACTTTGGACTAAATCTCAGGCTAGAACTGAGCAGATGTTGAAAGCCTAATTAGAAGACAATAAAATGATTGATTTCTCTCCTTCTTTGTCTCTTGCTCTTTAAAAAAAACAGCAAGTTAACCTGAGTTGAGACTTGAAGCACAGTCCATTTGGTCATGTCATGTGCTAGAATGCAGATGCTGTGACAGGCTAATGGACACTAGGAATTAGAAAGCAGGGTGCAAAATCTTTCAGGGTTCAGAATAAATTTCCAAATAACATTAGCAGGACTTAATGTTGCATCCCTGAATTTTTAGCAGATGGGGATGACTTACAATGAAATATTATTTTTATCCTTCATATTTGACTGCCAGTCTATTAAGAAGATGCCTCTTTACACAGGCTAAGTCACGACTGCAGTTCCTATTTGAATAAGCATTTGACTTATCAGAAATTTGGCTTAATAATACATTAAAATACTATTTAAAAAATAAGGCCTCAAATCTCATGTAATAGCTAGAAAAAGTTGTAAGTATAGGATTATACAAGATAATGTCAGTTTGATGAAATGATATATTGTTTTATTATGTAAATAACTCTTTTCTACTCAATTTAATCTTCATAATACAACTCTTCTTATTTAAGATTTCAGATCAGGAACCTTTCTCCCAGGTATGATTGATTTATAGATCTGCTTCTGAATTAAAATGAACAAATGGACAAGACCACAAATGTGTCAGTTGAGAAATAACCTTTGACGACATTTCAGGAGAAGGGTTTCCTTGCTGAAGTCGGCTCTCAGTAAAATGCAGGAGCAAGGCACAGGCTCCCGCTGCACTGCCATCTCCACTTCCACTGGGAGTTTTATGGGGAATCCTTGGATTTGTGAACACCTTTAAAACACCAAACTCGAGCCTTATCAAATCAGTGAAGATTACAGAAGACCCAAAAGTCTTCCCCAGGGATTAGTTGCTGCTTTAAAACAACACTGCTTTTGAAAAGGAATTCTTACAGGCACCAGTGGATTAATCCTGCCATTTCTCCATTGAGATAAATGAAAGAAGAAATAATGCCAGCAAACTCTGTTCTTTCAGTATCCTTAAAAACCAAACGTTCCAGAGTGCAAACTCCAAGATTTATAAGCAGCAGGAAATATGTTGTGGTGTCAAAAATAAAATAAATCCCCTGCTGATTTTGGCCAGGTACTTTTATTCCTTTCAGATTCAAGTCCAGATTGTCACATGGAAGCAATTTTTCGTTGTGAATTAATCTCAGAAGATTCACCCACTCCCCTGTTCCTCCTGGGCTACCTGATGGGCTGGAACGTGACAAAAGAATAAAATCATTTATCTAAAATAGCCCCAAACAAATGTGACTGAGAAGGAAAATAATGCTGTTATTATGACATTTAGTATTTTCAATGTCCCTAATAAACAATGTTTAGAGTATCTGTCCATCTTATTGTTATCTTTAAATAATGTGATTAATAATACATAAGGCTTACATATTCAAGCAAATTTCAAATGGAAGTGAAGTATCCTAAATCTATCGCTGAAAACTGAAATCAGGAAGAAAATGTGACTTTAGAATTAACCCATGTGACCGCATTGTGTTCTTTTCTTCATCAGATGTATGGCACTTCACAGCCACGCTTTTTGTTGATCAGCGTAGGCTTTCTTAGTCCTATGGCAAACAGCATTTGTCCTTGGTCACATAAGTTCTTTTTATAAGAAGCTTTTTCTTCTTAAAACAAACCATTCATGACTATCCGTTATGAATGGCACAGAAGAGATTCTTTTACTGAGTGGGTTGGCGTCAAAATATCTTCCCATTTAAGTTTCAATAATTATAAGAGGAACATTGGAATTTGAAATTGCTCTACTACCTCTCAGATTGGAGAAGGACAAAATGAGCAGAGCAAATAGCAATTTATCTAAGCAAGCAAAATGAGCAGGCACTGTGGCAGGTGCTTTTTTTAAGAAATTTTATTTAGCATTCACAACTACTAGGTGATATAGTATTAGTGTCTCTCTTTTGTAGAAGAAGAAAGAGAATAAACAATTGTCTCAGCATCATATACTAGGCGGCCTCCATGTCTGACTGCTAAGTCCACTCAATTTTCAATAATTATCCTTTCCCCTCCTTCTATAGCTACTATTTATGAGAATAATAATGCATGCAGGGCTGGAAATCTGGATGACGGGTTGTTGGTTCCAGCAAAGCACTATGGCACATGTATATCTATGTAACAAACCTGCACTTTCTGCACATGTATCCCAGAACTTAAGTTAAAAAAAAAAAAAGAAAAACAAACAAACAAAAACTTGCCTTTATAAATAATAAAAATAAAAAATACCCAAACTGAAGAATCTGAGTTACTGGTTTACTTTCCCCAAACTTAGGCAAATTTTGGTAAAGATTATTTAAATAAAGTCATTTTCAAACTGTAAATGTAAAAAACAGTCAAAATTTAAATCCTCTGTCTTACAATTGTAATATCAACAAGAAGAAAATGCACCCTTCCATTTTTAGGACGCTAATGCATGCCTTACGGTATCAAGTCTTGAAAGTAAGATGTAAGCGGCTAGTAGCGACTTTGACTTTACTATAATTACTGTTACACCAAGCATCATTTTAACATTTGCCTTAAAAATAGCAGAATATTGATAAGCAAGGTGATTGCACATCTTTTACCCATAAGAACTGTAGACAATATATACATTTTTAAAGACAGAGTCTCACTCTGTCACCCAGACTGGAGTGCAGTGGTACGATCTCGGCTTTCTCGGCTCACTGCAACCTCCACCTCCTGAATTCAAGTGATTCTCCTGCCTCAGCTTCCTGAGTAGCTAGAATTACAGGCACACACCATCATGCTCAGCTAATCTTTGTATTTTTAGTAGAGACAGGGTTTCACCATGTTAGCCAGGCTGGTCTCAAACTCCTGACCTCAAGAGTTCTGCCCACCTGGGCCTCCCAAGGTGCTGGCATTACAGGTCTGAGCCACCATGCCTGGCTAGACAATATCATTTCTAGTTTACATAGGTTTATTGAATTATATCCCCCCTTTATTGTTTTTTAAATAAGCATACAAGGCAATTGTCTGCTTTCTTGTGAACCACATAAATCATTTTCCATAAGTGAGAATTTTCCTCCCTCAATGCCTTAGTGGTTAACATTCTTAATATAAGTAACTTCAATTAACTTCAGTTTTACAAGTTTAATATCTTGCCAAAGCTTATGACTGAAAACATTTAGTACTTGCAAGTGTTTTGCATCAAATGTCCAAATCAAATATTTTTCGTCACTTTTTCCTTTATAAATGTTATCTTTCCACTAATAAATTAATTACTTTTTAAATTGATGTCACCTAACCTCACCTAACAAAGTACAGTTATTAGAATACTAACAGTGTCCTGAGGCTGGTCAGCGGGCAGTGTGAGAGCCGTCTGACAGCTCTCATACCCAAGGACGAAAATAGGACAAGCTTCCAATTCAGCAGTTACTCCTGAAACGTTTCAACCAGCTAGCAAACATACATTTCATTCATTATTTTTACCTTTCTAAAATTCTCACACTTTTCCAAATATGTATGTTTTTCCCCCTTGGAGTGCTTTAAAACAACTTGATCAAAGCACGCCAAGTTAACACCACTCCACTGAGCAGGACAAGATGCACAGACTGGAAAGCTGCCCTGCAAGGAGGAATTCATTTTTTCCCCTAAAACTACCAGATGTTACTTCTTTAAATATTCTGCAATAACTAAGGTACCCAGACCAATTGAACCATAACACTATGTATGACTTTGCACGGTGAGCCTCCGAGATAATATCACGTGATAGTTTGGGGTGGTGGGTCAAAGCCTGGCCCTTACCTATGAACACCCCTGAGCCTGTCTTCTCATTGCTAAGGTGTGGACCAGAGTGTCTGCCCACTGAGACTGCACGAGGGTGTCACGCAATGTGACAGTAAACGTTTATGTCAAGCACTGTGAATCATAACGTGCTCTGCATGCTCAGCTGTTATTATCATAGTTCTTCAACTCATTAAGGGTGAAGGTCCTCAGAAATCAAAGAAGGAAGAGACATGGAGTTGGATTTACCAATTCTTCATTTTCAAACTCCAGGTTACTCTGTGCTGCTTCGTCTGTCACAGGTTTCTGAACAATGTTTCTACAGAGAAGCCAGATGGTCAGACTAGCAATGAACATCCCGATGTCAGGTACAAACACTCTGATCCCATTGCCAGCATCAGCTCCCTTTAAGCTACAAAGGAAAAAAAAGGGGAGGGAAGAAAATTTAGTTCTTATATTTCTATGGTTAAACTGCCTTATAGGATGTTTTGGTCTTCTTAATGATTTAAAATAAAAGATGCTCAGTTTCTCCCTAAAAGGTACAAGAAAGCTTTTTATTGACTTCAGTGTCTCACAAAATCTACACATTCAGGAAGATTCCAGTGTTCCCTGGAGTTTCAGAGATATTATAAAGAACTCTTGAACCAATTCTCACTCCTAAAACATCCTAATGGACTATGTTTTTGTTAGGTAAACCACATGTCCAGTACAAATGCAGTTGTTTGCAATCTAGCTGAAGCCGTCTAAAACTGAATACATACTAGCAGCGAGAAGATATTTTACTTTTGATATAAGTCAAAGATACAAGGAAAATAGAGAAAATATTAAAGTAATCCTGGAATCCAGGACCTCTTCATTATTTTGTGTACTTGGTTGATTTTGTCTTCTGTATTGTTCCAAGAAAGGTGGATCCAGTACATTTTTTCTTTTAATCCCAGAGAAGCAACACTGAACTTAGAAGATTTGAGTTCAAGTCCAGGTCTGAAACTTAGTAGCTGCATCCTACTGCGGGCTTCTCACAGCCATCTGTTCTGCTGTGCTGAAGAAGTAATACTATTTGCCTTCCTTATTTTGTTCAAGTGACGAGAGATACTAGGCCATGGTTTCAGAAGAAAATATAAATATGTATATATGAAATAATGTTTGTGAAAGTTCTTTGTAAAGAATGAAACACATATTTTCACTAAGCCTACATTTTGAGAAGAGCAGCACCAATTGACATTTAGATAATTTTCACACATATGGGGCATTTTTGTTATAACTGAGATCCTGAAACAACTATATTTAATAATATAGCAGGCAGCAAAGGCCAGAGGTGAAGTGAAGAGTAGAAAGGGCTTCAACTGGAAAAGGAGGAGAGATCTGTCTGGGAAGGTAATACAAACACCATCTGTGATTTTGGGAGGCGTCCAGGGGTAATGAAAATGGGAATGAGAGGCAGTATATTGAGTTGCCAGTATAGTTGGCCAGCACACATCACCTCAGCTGAAATGTGTTCTGGCTAAGCTCACTCTGCTGCAAGACACCAGAGCTTAATAGCCACTGGTAGACTTCTCACACCATTCAGCACACGACACAGGCCAGCCACGTCCCTCATCCAGTGCTAGACGCCTGCCCTGTGTGCCTTTGCAACACTGAGCGACTGGGCTTGCAGTGCTATAGCACTGTGTAGTGCTGTAACCACAGTACCTATTACTATTATTAAAAGCCACGTGAAGAGCGATTCCTGGCATGTTCTCTGCTCACTCGTATAATAGAAAATAAGCTGTAACAAGAAAAAACCTAATGAAATGACTAGGTGATATGAAGAAAAAGTTATACAGACTTAAGTTTACAAAATGAATTTAAAATACGGAAGATACAGGTAGAGGAGTCAAGAGTCTGGACCAGCATTAAAACTTCTGGGGAAGATGAGACGATTCATGGAAAAATTAAGCATAGAACTTCAAAGGAGGGTTAAGCCTTTGAAAAAATGTTTATCAGAGATATAACTTACTTAGGGAAGGGAAACAAAAGATAGAGCAATATACCATGTAAATACATACATATATATGCACATATATTCATATGCACTTTAAGTGATTACACACTGTATTCATTTACATTATATATTATATATTTTGGTGGAAACGTTTTAAAATAATAAATAGCAAGAACCTTGGCATCTAGAAATAGCTACTGTTAACATTTTTGAAAATAAAAGTTATTGATAATACCTACCATTTACTGAGCAGTTACTTCGTGCTAAGAGCTTTAGACACATTATTAATTAATCCAATTGAGTTAGGCATTATTATCTTCCTTTTATATGTGAAAAGACTAAGTCTTCAAAAGGCAATCTAACTTCCCAAAAGCCACATAGATAATACAATTATACTCCATTCTCCTTACGTTCACTTTTATGCTTTCAACCGCTTTCCCATGTACGTATCCACATGGCCTTCCTTTCCAATCTTCCTTCTATATGTGGATGTGCACATTTATAGTTAACAAAACTAAGTTCATTATTTACCTATGGTTTGCAAGCTGATTTGTTCATTTAACATGTCACTAACATTTTTACAACTCATTTATTTTTATATATCATCATACTAATGGATAGACAGTATTTATTTAACTAGTCAACAACTGTTATAAATAGAATGTTTCCATGTATTTGTTACTATAATATACATAAAAATTAAACCTTAATTAAAGAGTCTTCTAATCTAGGATCTCCTAGGAATCAATTCTCAATCTAATCAGATTTGCTTTAAAAAGTGGTCTAGCCCGAAACTATGAAACTACTAGAAAAACACATGAAAACTGCTAGAAGAAAACTATGAAACTACTAGAAGAAAATATGAAACTACTAGAAAAAAACACTGTGGAAATACTTCAGAACATTAGTCTGGACAAAGATTTTTTTTGGGTAAGACCTCAAAAGCACAGGCAACAAAAGTAAAAGTAGACAAACAGGATTATATTAAGCTAAAGAGTTTCTGCCCAGCAAAGGAAATAATCAACAGAGAGGAAAGACAACCTAGATAATTGGAGAAAATATTTGCAAACTATCCAGCTGAAAGGAATTAATCATCAGAATATATAAGAAGCTCAAACAATCTAATAGTAAAAATAAATAACCAAATAAAAACAGGCAAATGATTCAAATAGACATTCCTCAAAAGAAGACATACAAATGTCTTAAAAGGCCAACAGCTTATGTAAAAAAAATGCTCAACATCACTCATCGTCAAGGAAATGCAAATTAAAACCACAACGAGTTATCCTCTCACCCTAGTTAGAATGGTTATTATCAAAAAGACAAAAAAAAAAAAAGTGCTGACAAGGATGTGGAGAAAGGGGAACCCCTGTATACTGTTGGTGGAAATGTATAATAGTGTAGCCACAATAGAAAACAGTATGTAGGTTCCACGAAAACTTAAAAATAGAACTACTAAATGATCCAGCAATCCCACTGCTAGGTATATGCTCAAAAGAAAGGAAATTAGTATATCTAAGAGATATCCGCACTTCCATGTTTACTGCGGCACTATTCACAATAGCCAAGATATGGAATCAACTTGAGTGTCCATCAACAGATAAATGGATCAAGAATATGTGCTGTATACACAATGGAATATTATTCAGCCATAAAAAAGGAATGAAATCCTGTAATTTGCAGCAACATGGAAGAAACCAGAGGTCACTATTTTAAGTGAAATAAGTCAGACACACAAAGACAATGTTCTCATTCATATGTCTGAGCTAAAAAAGTGGATCTCACAGAGGCAGAGAACACAGAGAGGTGGTTACCAAAGGCTGAGAAGGATGGCAGGGAGGGGGAGTGAGGAGCAGTTGGTTAATGAGAATAAAAATAGAGTTATATAAAAGGAATAAGTTCTAGTGTTCAACAGCACAGTAGGATGACTGTATTATTAATGTTTATTGTATATTTCAAAATAGTTAGAAGAGAAGATTTAAAATATTCCCAGCACAAAGAAATGGTAAATGTTTCAGGTGATGGATACCCCAATTACCCTGATTTGATCACTTTATATTGTATGAATGTATCAAATATCACATGTACCCGAAAATATGTACAATTATTACACATCAACTTAAAAAATGATCTGGAAGAGGGAATGTCCTGTGACAGCTTCATTTTTACAGATGGCCTCTAAACCCTTACCCCATTTTAAAAAATGCTTGTGTTAAAGGTTTTAAAATATAGCAAATTCCTTTCATTTGGAGAAAGAGTAAGAAAATCCACTTAAGAGAGCTTCATCCAAACTACATTTATATTATAGTAATGAAATCTGATGAATGAATTCATCATAGGAAAATTGCAGAGATTCATGGTATACTTTTAAAGTCTACCTAACCTGACTGAAAAGAGTAAACTAGAATTAATATCATTAGAATGGGAAAAAATGGGGATCAAGGAATGAGAAAAAATGAGGATCAAGAAAAGAGACCAGTAAGAACAAAGGCCAGGCTTAGGGGGCTGTTTTGGTGTGGGGCTGAGGTCAGGAGTAGTAGTAGGCTGGTACTACTCAGGTGGATTTTTGGCAATCGATTATTATAGCTCTTTCATGGAAAACAAATTGACTGTGTCATTTTATGAAAAGCACCATCCAAGTAGAGTCGAGAGAAAAAGACTTCTTAAATTAAAGTAACAAGAACTCCAGCTGTGGCCTCAGCTGCTTCTTACACCACAACAGACAGAGCAGGAAAGCCGGAGTCTTATACCTTTCCCACCTGTGGATTGCATTAAGCCCCAATTTGCAAACAGTCACTTTGAGGCAACAGTCTCAGCTTTGTGCTTCTTGGTCCCAACAGAGACATTTTATAACATACATATATTAAGGGAATAAATGAATGTAGTTTGCTAAAGCAATCACTCCACCCGCTGTGATAGAATTTAGCTACTGAATCCAGAATTGGGCTGCGATCCCTACTTAGAATGGAATCATTCAGCCATAGAGGTGCTAAACTATTAACTACTACTCTTGGCTTGCTGAGTTAACAAAGCAGTGCATTCATAATATTGCCATTGCAGAAACAATGATACTTTTGAAAAGTATGCACAATAAACAGGTCATAGTCTGACTGATATGTCATTTGGAGACCATCTTATCAATAATGTTTCCTTCTTCGGTGCTTACTAAACTACATTCATCAGAATGCCAGTCCTCAGAAATCCTGTCCATCAAAACAAAACAAAACAAAAGAGAAAAAAGAAACAGTCATTGGTCCAGTAAATGTGAGAGACTCACAATGCATACTATTATACTAAAATACTTGAGGAGTTCTGTAGTAAAACAATTACATTTATTTGACCCGGAAACCATTTCTTACAAGTTTCTTCTGAGACTCTTACATGCTCCAGAGCTAGTGTGCAAGAGCAGCTTTTGGGAAGTGCTGGGCTAC